TTATCATAAAAAGATAAATGTTCAATTCACCAGAAAGATACAATTAAGCATGTATGGAACTTATAAAACAGCTCCTAATATAAAATGTGATAACACTACAGGTACTACAGGGTTAAACTGATAATTTTCCTTCAGTGGGAGATTTCAATATAGTTTATTCAATTACTGATACTTCTAACATTCAAAAAATTAATGAAGATACAGGGTAATTTAAAAGCAATGAAGCTTGACTCAATCAATAGAGAATCACACTCCCGACCATTAGAAAATGCACATTACTCTCAATGTCATATAGAATATTTACTAAAACTAATAATATATTTGTTCATAAGGCAGAGTTCAACACATTTTAAAGAGTAGACCATTTTCTTTCACCACTACACAATTAAACTAGAAGATGATTAAAAGAGGATGATCTTTATAATTCTCACAGGTTTAGAAATTTAAAAATAGGTTCTAAAACTTCCATGTAAAATACTGAAGAATTTATTACAATGGAATTAAAGTACATGTGCAACTGAACAATAAGGAAGATACTCCATATAAAAGCTTATGGGATGCTGCTGAGGTAGCATTTAAAACTACTGCCTTATATTCTTATATTAGTAAAGGAGAAAGGTAGAGACTAGAAAATATCTATTGATATTAGAATAGATTAAAATATGTATATTCACAAAGTAATATACTATACAGCAGTGAACATGAATAACCTATAATACAGTAAAACTCCAATGAATCTGAGAACATAACATTAGCAGCAAAATATCAGGATACATCCTATAATTTGATATGCCTGAGAGACTACCATGTGACAAAATTAGAAAAAAATCAACTAAATTAGTCTGAGATGACATGCATAAATTGACTTAGACATAAATTAGCCATTAGTTGAGTTCAATCATTTTGGAAAAGATCATCAATTTAATTATTTATAAAAGGGAATTATAGACAATATCAACATAAAGCAAAGCATACTCTTTTCGTGTTTAAGAATTTATGAAAAATAGTTCTTTTTGCCACTAGATTATAATTTTATAATTCACAGACTCATTAGTAGTTTGTCTTAAAAAGTGAAATATTCTTTCAAATGAGAATTACATGCTTATTAGTAAACTCTGGCTTTTTGAAATTCTTGAAAATTTTCAGTGCAGGGACATATAATCAATACAAAATAGGTTACACTTTTATTATGACAAATGATATACTTTAGTTATGTTTAATTATATTCTTTCAAAAGGAGTCTGTCTCTCTCCAATAAATGCAGTCTTAAAAAAATACTTATTTTACGGGGAAAGCCAATCTATCTTTACTTAAATATTGACTACCAAACAATAAAAATGAAAAAACTATAGGTTTCTATAAAATCTTTTTCCTTGGTACACCACACCCATTGTTATAAATACATTGTCAACGTCTTAGCTATGTCAAGAGCCTTGCAATTCCTCTAGGTGCTAGTCTTCCCTTGGAACCTTTTGCCTTTTAATAATGTATGTTTTCATTCTTCTGTTTTATTTTATGTTTTGCCTTTGGGCAACTTCCTGGGGAGTAATGTTTTTGGATGTACAGGTTTTTTTTCCAGAAAAAAATTCTCTGAAGACTTAAAATATTAATAGCAAATGGCTGTGCTATTTAAAATTCAAAAATATGTTCATTTTGCTTTTAATTTTTCAGGTAATGGATCTTAAATATAAAACAATCTAACATCCCTTGATGTCTTCCTCTCAATTACATGGAAAGCAAATTATTTATTATATATTTACCATAGCTAGAAAAAAATACAGAATGAAAATCAAGTGGACATTTAGAATCAGAAAGCTCATCCTTTAAAAAATATACCTGCAGACACAGGCGTCAATTAAACCACAATCATCCAGGAATCATGGAAAATTTGATTTTGCAATGTTACTTTTCACTGATGCAGTAGAGAGATGTTCATGTGTTGCTGATTCTTATCAGTATCTTTTCCATCCCTATAATAAAACCTCAGATATTTGAAAATCCAGTCCATGCAGACGGTTGTAAGCATCTCAATCAGAGTGAATCAGAATTTAGGAAGCGGTACCTCTCTTGTTTTATATGGATCCTTTCCCACATATTAACGTTCTCTTCCTTCCCAGCCAAAAAACCTGGGAGTGAAGGACAGTCTCTGTGCATCCCATACCAAAGCAGAAAAACCAGCCTGTCAGAAGTAGAGGATCTGATCCTGTCCAGAGGACAAGAGAAGCAGGCACAAGGGAGGAAGGGAGCAATAAGTTTAAAGCAAAAGCTATTTGCAAACCTCCTTTATGAAAGACAAAGGACTGAAAGATAAATAAGAAATATGACCAAAAATAAATGCACATGTACATAATGCTGAAAAGGGTTCAGAAAAAGAGTGATGAATCTTCAGTTTAAATTATCTTCAGTATGTTTTATTTGATAAATATCGGAAGTTTTTTTATGATTGCCTCCAAAAAGGTATGACAAAAAATTATATGCTATGGAGAATATGATCTCCATGTGTGCAGCAACCAATTGATTAAAATGTATCGTCTCATGATGTTCTTGGATATTTATCTCCTATGATCCATAAGAAAGAGTAGACATTTTTTTTTCTGGTGACACTTTTTCTCTTTTCCATTACTATTATTATTTCTTATTTACTTCCTATTTACCCCTATTTCTTCCCAACAATTCCCTCCACTTTCCTCCCTTTGATAAATTAACCCACAATTTCCTGTGGCAGTAAGTCTTAAGTCCTTTGGCCTGCAGGATCTCTACCTCGTAGAGGCCTTACCTCCACTGCTTTCTGACACTAGCCCTTAACGTCAGCCAACTCTTCTTCTGATGGCCTCTATATGCCATGCTTTTTTGGTCGCCAACTTTGAAATAATAGAAAACATATATATTGGTTTCTACCCTTTGTCTCTGGTACAGGGTTTCTAAATCTCCTGGGTGATAGAAGGGTTTTTGTTCGATGAGGCAATGCTTGGTGGGCTCCTGGATGGGAGTTGGTCACCAAAAGGTCCAAGCTGTGATTAGAAGCTGGAACTTTCAGTTCTACTTCCCATCCTCCAGAAAGGGGAAGGGGGCTGGAGATTGAGATAATGATCAATCATGCCTATGTAATAAAGCCTCCATAAAAAAAATCTCAGAGGTACAGGGTTCAGGGAACTTCTGGGTTGGTAAACACACTTACATACAAGGAAAATGGCTCACCCCAACTCCACAGGGACAGATGTTCCTGTGTTTGGGACCCTTTCAGACCTTGCCCGATGTACCTCTTCATCTGGCTGTTCATCTGTATCCTTTATAATATCCTTTATTATATAATAAACTAGTAAATGTAGTAGCGATTCTCTACATTCCATAAGCTGTTCTAGCAAATGAATCCAAAGGAAGAAGTGATGAGAACCTCTAATTTCTAGCCATCTTGGACAGAAATTGTAACTTGGGAACCTACCACTTATGGCTGGCAACTGAAGTAGGAAGCAGGCTTGTAGGACTGAGTCTTTAAACTGTGCTGTGCTAAGTCCAGGTTAGTGTCAGAAGTGACTGACATTGTGTGACACCTAGCTGGCATCACAGATAATTTCTTGGTGTGGAAACCAACCAACCAACCAACCAACCAACCAACCAACCAACCAACCATACATCTAGTGTAGGAAGTTCTGGGAGCATGGTACTTCTGTCAAAGTGAATAAGAGACAGGAGAAATGAGTTTTTCTTCATATCATTTCCATCTTTTTCCAGTCATTCAAAGCAAACTATTCTTCCAAGTACAAATTCTGGAATCACCTCCTTCACGAAGTGTACCCTGACTACCTGTGGGTGTAGGGGAAGAGTGTAGAGTGGGATGGTTTCAGAGGGCTTTCCTGAGTATCAAGTGGGAGCTTTGCCCTTGCATCCATGAGACAATTCTGTACCCTTGTAATTACTTTCCGTTTTGAAATCCCTGAAGCAAGTTCATGTGGGGTTCTATTATTTGCAGTCAAGGAGTGTTGAATGAGATATGTGGCAAGTACCACATTTAATGTTTGTCTTGTAGGTCGCCAATACTCACTATGTGATGGGCACAATGGAAGCACTCAATAGATATTGAGATCTGTTCCGTCCAATGCAGTAGCTACTAACCACAAGAGGATTTGGGCTACTGAAATGTGACTAGTACCAACTGAAATGTGCTTTAAGTGTAAATCACACACACAATTAAAAAAATAGTGTAAATATCAATATATTTCTGAATTGATACATGCATAAATAATATTTATATACAGAGTTAAATAAACATTGAAATTATTTTAACATGTTTCTCCTGACCCTTTTAATGTATCTACTAGAAAATTTAAAATTACATGTGTTGTTCACATGATTTTGCTCTAGACAGCACTGATTTAAAAAGATGGTTTTTTAAAATCAGAAAACATGGGAGGGAAAGTTCTATTTCCCAGAATTTTAGGAGCTTATGGAAAATTTAAAGTCGTATCCTGTATATTTAGAATGCCTATGTGTGTCTAGATATTGATATTTTAGAGGGTATTTTCTGAGAGTTTTGTCTGTTTACAACCTACCTAGATCCATTCCTAACTCTGTTATTCTTCTCAGATATACAATTATATTTAAGTTAATGAACATTGAAAAACATCAGCGAATAAAACATGATCGCTCAACCATATGTGCTCTGTAGCAAATCTTTAGTGATTGAAGGTTTAAGGCAGAAACAAGATTATTTTATTTCATTCTACTTAAATTGCTGAAAAAAATTATGTATTTGAATGCAAGTCACTTTAATCTTCAGGCTTGAGAACATGAAAAGTATTTGTTCCAAGTCATCATTTCAAATAACATGGTTTTTTAAGTTTCAACATAACTAAGTTTAAAAGTTAAATTCCTGTCAGAAGGTTTAGTATGAAATGACTCAATCTCTGAACACATTAAAAATATAAATATTTTATAAATTTTAGCTGGAGATTTATACTGCATGCCAAAGAGAATTTATCTTTAATACAAGCAGTACTTACTTGATACTCTTGCAGGTTTTTCTGCTAAAAATAAAAGAAAATAAGTTTTGTTTAACTCAGATAAAATGCAAAGAAATTATACGTTGATGGACCACATGAAAGAATCTAACGTCTTTTGACTTTCTTATTAAGAGTTAATGAAAAGGGGATCCCTGGGTGGCTCAGTGATTTAACACCTGCCTTCGGCCTAGGGTGGGATCCTGGAGACCTGGGATGGAGTCCCACATCGGGCTCCCTGCATGGAGCCTGCTCCTCCCTCTGCCTGTGTCTTGCCTCTCTTTCTCTGTGTCTCTCATGAATAAATAAAGACTTTAAAAAAAATAGTTAATGAAAGAATATAACTATTGCCTGAGAACATGGGTCTTTGAATATATTGATTATTTTTATGTGAAATATCAGAAAAGCTATTAATCATTGTAGATGTCACAACATATTTACACTTTTAAAATACTAAAATCAGTAGGATCTTTGTTAAATTAAGGATCTTGATTCAATTCTAATTATAGCTGACTTGAGTAAAAATACTTTGTATGATGTAATTAATCTAAATATTTGTTTAAAGTTTCAATTCCATAAAATGTATCATTGAGAATTATTTTCCTTTCAAAAATTATAAGGATAAAAACTAAACCTTAATAAACTACATGCAAAATTAGTTTAATTTTTCATAACCATTTGTCTATTAGTTTCAATGAGAAACCATAATTCTTCAAAGTAGTATTGTTTTACATTAAAGTGTATGTATATAGAACAAAAATATAAAGTGAGATGATTGTCCCAAATACTATAACAGAAATGCTAACTTCTTGAAAAGTAAAAAAAAAAAAAATTCATAACATTTACTTTGTACTATATTAGTCTAACTTCTTTTTTTTTTAATATGGTCGACACATAATTTTACAGAAGTTTCAGGTATATAATTTGGTGATTTGACAGGTTTATACATTATGGAATGTTCACCCCAAGTGTAGCTACTGTCCCATTAGTCTAATTTAAAGGGCTGGACTTGATATATAAATTTTTTTTATTTATTTATTTTTTATTTATGATAGTCACAGAGAGAGAGAGAGAGAGAAAGGCAGAGACACAGGCAGAGGGAGAAGCAGGCTCCATGCACCGGGAGCCTGATGTGGGATTCGATCCCGGGTCTCCAGGATCGCGCCCTGGGCCAAAGGCAGGCGCCAAACCGCTGCGCCACCCAGGGATCCCTAAATTTTTAAATGAATCTGCATTACATGATTTATTTTGAGACTTGTAGAGTTTCTAATATAAACCCAAGGGTTACAAATTTACCAAAGTTAGTTAATACCAATAAAATTTTTTTCATTTGAGACACGTATGATTTTAGTGATATTACGACCACATGCCTCATGTATAAAATTACAAAATAGCATGTCATTTTTTTCCTTTAAAAATATTTCACTGGCTAAAAAATAGAAACTTGAAAGGAATACAACAAACATTTATTGAAATACAATGAACCATCTGTTGAATGAAGGAATGAATAAGAATGTGCCTGTGTTCTCAACTAGCTCAGGGTTAGTCTTGTGCTTTTACTTAGAATACCTTGTCCTGTGTATTCATAATATGAAGACCTTGGAAATGATGGGCTCCAGATTGGGGTAAGAAAGGACTGTCTATCCAAAGCCTAAATGCCTTGTACAGCCCTCAAGTTATAGTTTGAACAGACTACTCGCTTGGGGACAAAGTTGAGTACATTTACATTTTACCTTTGGGCTGCTCTGATTGGTAGAAAGATTCTCTAATGTGTGCCATAGTGTGATGGGGTAGTGAAATGTAAATGAATGAGTTCAACTGTTAAGTCTTTGGACCAAATCCTGTCTCTACCATGTAAACATTCTGGGATTTTAGATCTCCCTCATTACACCTACCTCATCTTTAATTTGGGCATGATAATTGGGCCTGTTGTGAGGATTAAATGAATAATAGGAAAGGATGTACCAAAGAGTTTTTTTAAGTAACTGGAATTTTTTTATTCTTCTGGTTAATTATTTTAAAAGATGCTAAGCCATATTCTAAAAGTTAAGCAAGTGAAATATAAAATTTATGCCCTTATATGATTCTATAAATTTGGTTTGCTTTTATTGTAAATTTTACCCTCTAATATTACTGAGAATTACATGTCTAAATTACTGATAACTATATGTCTAAGTTATATGTCTAGATAAGTCCTGCCATTTGGGGCATCCATAATACAGTAAGCAGAAAGAAGGAACCAGTGAAAATACAACACTGATTTCCCCTCCCCCCACACTGGAATTCCATATATTTACAATGTTGAAAACAATTGTTCAATTTTGACATGTTTACTTAGCATCTTAAAATTTAAAATATTTAAATCCCATTACATTTTGAATTAATTACATTTGTTCAAAATTATATCACCTAGGCTATATAATTCAGTTATAACATGTATTTATAGTTTTTTGATAGTCAATATCACCAAAATAGGTCATTCTCATTTTAGGTGAAGGACATCTTCCTGTTGTGCACATGCTGGCATTTTCCCTCTACAAAACACTTTTTGTCTAGGTGGACTTAATTTAAAGGCCAACTTTAAATAATAACTTTATTTATGATAATGGTTATATTTATGTAATACATAAAATAATTGTCAGCTCTATTTTTTTTACTGCTATATCATTTTTGACCTTATAATTCATATTATGAAAGTCTTTTGTAAAAGAGAAATTCATCTTCTGATATGTACTGGAATATTTTATTGAATGATTATGTTGTTAATAGTTCAGATTTCTTCTTTCTAGTTTTCCATGGAAATGTAAATCTCCTGCTAGGTTTCCCACCTGTCCACTTCCTCTGCCTAATATTAGCAGAAGTGTATAAATGCTAGACTTCGTTGCTTTAAAAAATTTTAGTGTTAATATTAAGTGCAAGCATAATTTAGGCACCTCACCTCCATACCAATTTAGCATTTGAATATTTACAAAGTTGATTCAGGATTACCTTTTGTCACGTTGTGTGATTGAAGACTTTCTTTTCTTGTTGAGACTGTGGATAAGGAAAACGTAAATTAAACTCTGACTTTTTAAAGGGAATTTTCATTAAAATTTTGGCTCACTTCAACTAAGCTTTGGGAACATGGGAATTATTTAAATAATGTAAATATTTTCTCAGGGTCATTAAAAAATTTTCTCTTCTAACACCTAACAAAAACAAATGTCACCAGTAGAGATTGTTTTGTTTGCATAAACAGATTTACATGTTTGCAGTGATTACAGTATTTAATGAGACTCCATGTACAATGGGTCATTCTAAGTAACTGAATTTGGAGATAAACCAAAACAAACAAACAAACAAACAAACAAAAAAACCCAACCTGTCGTATTATTAACAATCTTTTTGATATGTTTAAGAATGCTTTCCTCTTGATACAATAGAATATTTCTTTATAAGTAAGGCCTTTATAAGTTTTTCAGATAACTACTTTGAAAATCAGTGATTATCATTATATTTTGTAGTTTAGCAAATAAATACACCCAATGTTAAGAAAATAAAGTCACTCTGTGATGCAGCCTCTAAACTTGTTGCTCACCAATGGCACAACAACACATGAATGCACGTTTGCTGGGACTGGCCTGCTATCCATTGTTCCTTCAACCCAGCCATTACCACATATTCGTATTTCCCACATTTCTTCCTTTAATTACACTAGAGCTCATCATATACACAAATACAAGTTTTATCTGAAAGTGATATAAATGGGGCACCTGGGTGGCTGAGTCAGTTAAGCATCTGCCTTTGGCTCAGGTCATGATCCCAGAGTCCTGGGATTAAGCCCGGCATCAGGCCACCTGCTCAGTGGTGAGTCTGCTTCTCTCTCTCTCTCTCTCTGCCTCTACTCTCTCTCTCTCTCTCTCTCCCCCTCAATAAATAAATTAATAAAGTATTTTAAAAAATAAAAATAATAAAGTGAAAAAATAAGCCTCAATTATTTTTTCTTTAGGGCTTTGCAGTATGTTTTTCAGTCTTTTAAAAATCACCTTTTTCTTCTTTAAGATGTTTCATTTCTGCTTTTTCTGTAGAGAAAAAAAAAAGGTAATTTTGAGTCATATATCATTTATTCATAAGTCTTCCTAAGGTTTGGAATGAACTTTTTTGTAGTCAATATTCACAATTCAGGCATTATATGAAAAGAATTCTATGATGTTAATTTAGAAATAGCAGAACCTAAACCTAAACCTAACCTTCTATTCTCTTTAGATATCTAATAACAAATGACGCCTACCCTCTTGCTTGGAAAATGCTACAGTGAACTGTAATTCTGAAACATGCTTTAAAAATCTCTGTCCACATTTTCTGTAATTTGCTAAATGATCTAATTTGTATAATTATGTATTTTTTATTTCTGTGTTTTTATTGTTAATTTGGTGTACATGTCTTTAAATGTCATCTTTACCTTTACTTTCTTTTTCAGATTTTTCAATTTTCTTCTTCCCTAGGAGGGAAATATAACAAGAAATCATCAGTTAAAAAAAAATGACTTCTTACTCAATTGTGAAGTGAACACTTGGAGATGAGACTTAATCCCATAAGTGGAGGGGGTCAGGGCTCTGCTTTTTCAAAATACAAAGGAAGAGTATGCCTCCTATTGTGTGAGAACATATGTACTTTTGTTACACTTGGTTATTTGGCTTATATTCAGTCACCTGAATGGCAGAGTCCTCTCCCTTTTTCTTTTTATCTCTGTTTTCATGTGCTTTGACGGAAAGCTCTAGCAAGCCATGCATTTAAATGTAAACTAGTAACAACAGGAAAAACATGCAAAATTTCAATTGTTTTCTTTAGGAAATGAGAATCTGGTGCTATGGATGCTCAATAAATAAACTGAAATAAAAACAATGAGAGTCACAAAATATCTCCAAGCAAAAAGTGGACACATATGCCTTTTCAGAAGTTTCAGTTGATTAATGGTTTTTCTTCAACTGGATATATCAAACGATACTGAGAAGAAAACCAGGTAGTGGGGATGTGGCATATCTTATCTTATTTAAAGCTCATAACAAGCCAAAATTTGGGATGTCATTTTGTCTGTTCTATAGATGAGGAAACCAGGAATCTGAGCCATCCAACAGATTTTCCCAAATGTTACACAGCTAGATAGAGATTCAAATTTACACATAAATCTGTCTTCACGGATCTATGTTCCCTCCTTTGGGGAAAGTATTTTTTACCTGATTCTGTGACTTCTGGTGTTTCCTCTTTAAGGAAAAAAGAATATAGTAAAAAAAGAAAAGGACAGAATAGTATTTCAGTAGCAGACAATTGAGCTTTATCTCTAGGTATTTCCTATTTAATTCCACTAGTAATGACAATAAACACATACGCTCAGAATGGCAAAGAGATGCACTAATAACCAATATCTCTGAAAACTAACTAGAACTCTATTTGGAAATTAGAACTACTCGATAAATTAACTTAAAACATTCTATGCCTAAATGGTCACATTAATCAATTTGAAGTCCTTTGGTTGGTTTTCTTAATTACAAATTACAAATTATAAATCTCTGCTTCACAGACTTTTAACTTGTTCTTCATATATGCACGAATACATTCATTCATTGAATATTTATAAAGTAACTTCATGTATAAGATGTTATACTAACTGCAATGGGTGGGATTGTGGGATGAGGTTGAAAAATATCACAGAAATTCAACTCTCGGTGACTTTTGTCAGAGTAGTGAGACAAGGTATAAAATGTTATTTATCTTTAGTCTCTGATAATACAGAAACAGCCTCTCTTTTTGTTCTTTTAGTTAATGCATAGACCAATAATATTGTAAAATGTAACATGACAGGATTTTTAAAAATATATTTTTCCTCACAGTTCAGTTCAAGTGAGAACATACCTATAAACCTGATACATTTAATTATAAGTCTTCTATAGCTTCTCTGGAAGCTTTATTCAAAACTTAAGAAAAAATGATTAAAATATTTTATGATAATAAAGACAAAAATGAATAACATTTCATAAACGAAACAGTATTTACAAGTGATTATGGTGAACTTCATATTAGCATTCTAGTTTTGACTTTCAACTCTTAATTTTTGCATACCCTTAGCAATAATAAAAGCTAAATGTATTAGAGATTTTCTCCAACCCAAAGGCAACATTTAACATTTTAACATCAAATTCAATTAGAAGAAAATTGTAGCTGCATTTGTAAGGAGCCTGTCATGATACTCTTAAGGAACTGGGTTACTCCTTGGCATTTAGAAACTTTAGATAGAACTTCTAGATACACTTTTGATTGAAATGCACATATTTTTACCCCAGGTTAAAGTCTGGGTCATAATTTAACAATATTAAATAATTATTTCATTTTTATGAATTACATAGAACTTCATAAATTTTCAAAAGCTGTTGCATTGGTATTATTGCTTGGGATGTCAAAATAAAATAGAGATTCTGAAATACTAAAAACAACTTACCTTCAGGTGTTGAAAAAGTAAAATAATAAAAGTCTAATGTGCTAAGATTAATAATTGGGGACAGGTATTATGTGTTCTAAATTTTTCTTAACCCAGCAGTGACTATTAGAGGAATCTCCATACCGTGTTTACTCAATACATCCTCACAAACAAATGGAGGTACATTAAAGAGAGATGAAACCACTTTTATTCCTACACAAACATTACTTATCTTGGTAAATGCATTAATTACATAGGCATGAAAACAGAAAACATTTTTGGCATTCCCTCACATACCCGGGTACAGTGTAATATAACTGATTGGTGCTCAGTAAAGTCACGTTCAAGGATTAATGAATATGATACACACAATATTCTTTGTCAGAATCATTTATATAGGTGATGGTGTCCTGCCTATTGCACTAATAAACATACTGTCTTTTTTTTGGCTGCATATACAATACAAAGAGATCATAAAATTAGTGTGATTTAAATAACAAATTCTTAAAATTTTAAAGTGGTACACTTACTTGAGGTTGGTTTGGGTTTGTCTAAAAAGTAAAGAAGAAAAGTAAACAGGTGATCATTTTTCCCCTATAGGTAAATATCAGCACTTTATATTCCTATTTCTGTCCAAGTTAAACTAGAAGTAGGCTAAACATATTAAAATGAGCAATAGAAAATGCATTTTGAATAATTTTAAAGTTATATTCCTAACGAATTCCCTGCAGAAGAGATCGGAAAGCTTTCAGATATAGAATCTTCTTGGTCTCTTCATCCCTATGAAATCTTATCTGATTTAATGCAATATGAATGCTCACGGTAATTTGAATGCCTCACTGTTTCTGAAGAGCGTAAAATGCATATTGTGTCATCATCCTCTCAGAATGCATGTTAGTATTAATATTCTAAATATTTCTTAGAAAAAGAGAAGGAAGGATATTTTCACACCCTCCAGCAGTGTGTGCCTTAGAGTTTGAATGATGCCAACTACCATATCTTTTAAAAAATCAAATAGCATTTTTTTTAAAGAATGAAGCTACCATTTATATATTTTATATTTAAGAAAAGATATCAAGTGGAAATTCATGATTAGTTTTTAGTAAAAGGTAATTTCTGTAATTTGGCAAGATATTTTACAATCTTACCTTGAATCAACTTAATCAGTGTGACAAATGGCATTAATATGGACAACAGTGAAAGGGGCCTGTGAACCATGAATGTAATACTATTTTGTTAATACTGCTATTACTATTATAAATATAAGAGACTCTTATCTATAGAGAACAAACTGAGGGTTGCTAGGAGGGCGGTGAGCAGGGGGATGGGCTAAATGGGTGACGAGTATTATGGAGGGCACTTGTGATGAGCACTGGGTGTTGTATGCAAGTGATGAAGCACTGAATTTTACTCCTGAAACCAATATTATACTATATGTTAACTAACTGGAATTGAAATAAAAGCACAAAACAAACAAAAAAAAACCCTACTGTATCATAATAGTATGTTTGACAATCCTATACATATGTGTTATAATACTTAGCAAAATGTATAATTTTCAACAGTAACACAACTGTAATGTCAGATAAACTAGATTTCCTAGAAAACCAGAAGACTGAACAGTACCAGGAAATAAGATGAAAAGCACTCGTATGCTCTGTTTGAATTTTTAAACCTAATAACACTAGTGAATTAAGACAATGTAAAAGCACCTGTTTTTATAGTTGGAGATTCTTTTTCTTGGTGTTCAGCTTTTTCTAGAAAGAGAAATTAAAATTAATTGGCAATCTGTGAATTGTTTGTGTAGCAAGCATTCCTTATTTATGTATTTGCGGGTGATCCTCAGTTTATATAGGAAGCATGCCCTCAAAGTCATTTGCATGTTGGAACACAGAAAAGCACATTGCCATAGAAACAGATTATAAACAAGGTCAGGTTCATTCTCAGGGCATCCTGTAAGACAGTAGGAAGATACTAGCCCTCTTGGGGCCTTGTGGTATAAGAAGAAGAGGATAGAATATGACAAAGAGGAGAAAAAAAGAGGATTTTTCTTTCTCTGCTGAAGGTAAAATCATTCCTTGAGGATAATTTAAAGTAGATGACATTTGCCTTTGGCATTTTACAAGCTCCTCTTTTTACCCCTCTGACTCCGCCTGGTTCCTTTTTGCCAGGTCAGAAGCAATTTGTGCTGGACATTAGTTTCTCATTGAAAATTTAACCTAGACCCCCACCTATACCAGAAAGTATCACATTCTGTATTTTCTTTTTTTTTTTAATTTTTTTATTTTATTTATGACAGGCACACAGTGAGAGAGAGAGGCAGAGACACAGGCAGAGGGAGAAGCAGGCTCCATGAACCGGGAGCCCGATGTGGGATTCGATCCCGGGTCTCCAGGATCGTGCCCCGGACCAAAGGCAGGCGCCAAACTGCTGCGCCACCCAGGGATCCCACATTCTGTATTTTCGTTTTCCTGGACCACCTTCTCCTTCCAGCTCCAGTTCGAACTCTCAGAGATGAATCTCAACTGAGTCTAGGACAGGACAAATGGAATCAAATATGCAATTGATATTCCTCTGAAAAATATTTGAAATAAAAAAATAGGAGATCTCTCTCTTTCCTTAAAAGTGGAATTTCAAATGAAGCCATTATAGGGTAGGATACTTTGAATGGAATTAAGAATAGTTGGAAATAGAGCCGATCACTGCCAAGTGTTAGTGCTTCAAATCACCCTCAAGGTTAGTCCTCCTGAGCTGTTATTGATGTTTACCTGTCTTTTTCTTCCCTCACTCCTGAATTTGGAGATGCTAAAAGTACTACCATTTTTCCCCAACAACATGCACCAAGAGTGAAGTAGGTGGGAAGATGTAGGACCTAGGTGGTCATAAGACTAAACTGGATATTTGTAATTTGGGGCTTGACAGTATTTAAGAATAAAACTTTCATGAACTAAATCTGTATAAGTGTTAATATTCGATAAACATACAAAATAAAATAAAATTGAAAAGCTGATATTCAACTTATTAAACTGTCACAATAACAGCTCTGCAAAAGTATACTGGATTACAGTGATGATAATAATATAAAATGCATACTCAACATACATGCAACATGTTCTAGAATATGAATATATTCTATTAGGCTCCATACATTTGCACCTTACCTCCTGAAACCACTTATGAGGTCTCCTAACTGAACTCACCAAATTCATCTTTGGACTGTGTCAATCCATTTTTCATACAGGATCCAGGGAATGTTTGACTAACACACTTTCATTGAAATTGTGTTACATAAAAACACAGAATTCAAGGACCAACATCACAATTTGGAAACACTTTTGGACTTATTTACTATCTGTGTGACAATGAGCCCATGCTCATGCCTGTCTGAGCCCAATAGTCAGCTTTTGAACTCTCTGCCACTGTAATCTCTGAAAATGGATGATCTTTTAAGTTCATACTCATGAGAAAAAGTCCATGATTTTAATAAACAAATGGCAATATGATTATGATCTCTGGATTTCTAACCACCAAAGTCTACCTACAGTGTGATTAATGCTACTTACCCAAACCAATATGTGGTTCATAACACTGATACTGTGTATCATTTCATTCTCCTTTGTTATTTATCACATGTGTTTGATAGATTGCCAGTTCATCCTAACTTCTTAGTGGTATTTTATAGCTCATATGGACTCACTCTTTCAGTATTAGTAATAGTGATACAACTTCCAGAGATTTCCTCTGTATAACTATAGCAAAGTATTTTTTTAAAGATTTTATTTATTTATTCACAAGAGACACAGAGAGGCAGAGACAGAGGCAGAGGGAGAAGCAGGCTCCCTGTGGGATTTGGTCCCGGAACCCCGGAATCACACACCCTGAGTGGAAGGCAGATGCTTAACCACTGAGCCACCCAGGTGTCCCTATAGCAAAGTATTAATAGTGTAAGACAAAGATGTCAAAAAGCTATAGCAAAACATTTTATCATCTATACAGCTAATTTAAACTAAGGTAATACTAAAATTAACAATTAAAGGGAAAAAAAACAAGCAAATTATTAAAGTTGAAATGGCCAAGCAATGCTTTTTAGACTTTATTCCTTTCATCTCTTACTTGTTGGTTTGGGCTTGACTGTAGAGAAGAACAGAGAAAAGAAAATGGCATATTGATGAGTACAAACCATTGAAAAAGGTAACTCTTTATCTTCTGTATTTATTTCTTCTTAGTTTTAGGTTTTCTTCTAATATTAGGCTTATTCCATTCTCTCTGAGCACTATTATTTCACTCTCAGAAAATATTTCAATCACACTGCTTGCTGAAGAGTTAAGACACATCAAAATGTATGCAAAATTTAAAGCTATATATTTGACATACAAATACATTGGGCTAGCCTCTTGCTAATCCCCAAATACCCATATAACTAAACGAGACCACATTAACACCTTAGGGTGCAAATTAGAGGAATACTAGCTGAAATTATGAGCTTTGACAATGGCTTTAATAGAGTACAAGGGACATGTGAAGTGATGTGTAAATGACCTTATAAGATTTCTTTCTTTCTCATGTGTTAATAGTCTATAATTTTTATAATTAGTTTTTTCCTGAATTCTATTATATTTTCTTCTGAGAAATTGGATTTAAATCTGATTGTCGTGATTATCTTAGTTAAAATGAAATTATATCACAGACTTTTTCTTTTGAAATGAACTTTTTTTGCTTTTAGTAAGAAATGGGACTCTGTTAACTGCCTGTTGCCCACTTGGAATTCAGTGAAGAGATTCAATAGTTTGGGATGTCAGTTGAGGTGAAGACCCTGTTTCATTCATCCCAATAGGAAAGAACTTCAGAATGGCCAAGAGTGTGTGCACCCCTCTTTTCTCCTCACCTGAAATACTGAGAGATACAGTTTTAATATTGTATGTTATCTATGTTCATACAACCATATAACTGTCTGTGGAGCCCTCATGAAAGGATATTTTTCCATATAATACATAAACAGTAGATTTCATAATTTCAGACTCCTGTGATCTTACAGTTTGAGGAAATGTGGTTTTAAAATAAGATTAAATACCTGGTAGTATATGATAATCAATGAATTACTTGGATTACCTCACAAGTTCTATGTAAGTTTAGATCAAACAGACTTAAATAATTAAATTACAATATTCTAGTATTCCATTGTTAATTTTATTGACTATTTCTTTCAGTATTTATAAGAATTTGTAATCTTAGAATTTACGGTGCTGAAACTCTGCACACTTCAGTGAAGATATGTGTGTATTCAAGTAACATAAAGCTCATAAATAGGAGAAAAATATGAAATATCTTATTTACCTGTTTTTTCTATAGCTGCTTTTTCTGTAGCTTTTACCTGCTTGACAACTTTTTCTTCTGTGATAGGAAAAAATGTTAACACAAGTAGAAAATGTAAATGCATCAGTATAAAACAGTGACATATGTCAAGTTTGATATTTTGTATTCTCTTTGAAATAACACCAATACTGAGAAAAACTTAGGTTTTTTTTTTTTTCCCGGAAAAGCAGCAAATGATATCTTCCATTCAAATTGGATAGAGCACAAAAAAAATGTGTCCAGCTGCAGACATCCTTGCAACTCTCCTGCCCTAAAAGTTTTGCCAATTGGAATTATCCCCTGACCTGCCAATACACATCTACCCCTTGCCTTCACTGTATTTCACTGTATTTATCTACACAGGGGTTGTTTTATAAGACATGTGTTCTTTTTAAATAATTGAACTAGAGCAGGAAGAAACATTTTTTTTTTATTTTTCTTGTGCAAGATTCCTCCCTGAGAACCCAAGATTAGTCTTGCAACCCAAGTTTTTTATGGTGCAAAGTTGGGGAGGGGCAAGAGGAATACATGTAGGGGATGTCTTCTGTCCTCTATATGGTTTTATAGATATAGTCAAAGAGATTTGGGTCAACGTAGAGAGATTAGGATAATGATCCTATGTAAAATTGACCTTGTCAATAATTCAACAGCGGGAATGAATCAATTAGAAAGTTTCCCTGGGAAGCAGAATTTAGAGTATGGACATTATCCCTAAAGTAAAAGGAAGGTGTGGCTGGAGGACAGTATGCTTATTGTACTCTCAGAGACTAAAGTCTCACTCTGTATTTCGGTTCAAAATGACTGACATTTGGGACAATCAGGAAAATAATAGGGTTTTATTATTCATTAGTGAGGAGGTTCTAAAAGTTATTTCTAAGGTTCTGCTTAGAACCTTAGAATACAGACAGCTATTCTTGGCTCCTCATGCTCCTGGTCTGCTTTTCATATTCCTGTTGGTGTCTCATATACTTTAAAACATAGGCAAAGGAAATCAAATGGCCTCAAACCCATTTTAAACAGTTTTTCTACAGTAAAAAGTCTGAAAGTGTAAGCAAAATATTTCCTAAGATAGGCTTAGAGAAACTATGTTTCTAACCTATTAAAAATTCTTCCCTAACCATGTTCATAGCTTTGAGTAAACAAGTCAGTCTGGAATGAAGGATGCAATAACTGAGGCACGGGACTGCCTCAAAATTAAACTCATATTTAATTAGCATAAACAAAAACTTAAAAGTTTTTATTTTTGGGGCTCCTGGGTGGCTCAGTCAGTTAGGCAGCTGAGTCTTGATTTTGGCTCAGGTCATGATCTCAGGGTCATGACAGCCAGTCCCTCACCTCCAGCTCTGCACACAGAGCGGGGTCTGCTTGCCTTTTCCCTACCCCCACTCTCTCAAATAAATAATTAAATATCTTTATAAAAACTTAAAAGTTTTTATTCTTGAATAAAAAAATCCAATTGATAAATTTGTGTTGGTAAATTCTGTATGTCTCTTTATGAGCAGAACATACAGGCTTACCTCTATTATCTCCAGGAATGAAAAACAAAAAAAGTGAGGCAAAGATGGAAGAAAGAAGGAGGAAGGGAAGCAGGGCGAAATGTTGATTTCCTTTTCTTGAGGTTGTTGGAATTTAAAATGATTGTGTTTGAATGAGCCATTCTGAATTATAAGTTTTCCAAAGATGACTTGCCTCAAACAGGACAGAATAAAACAACCACAGAGCCCATTCACCTGAGTGCTAAGATCTCCTAATAGATGGACATCCTCCATCTAATACATAAAAAGCAGATTTCATTGTTTCAGACTCCTGCGGTCTTACAGTTTGAGGAAATGTGGTTTTAAAATAAGATTAAGCTGTCTTTGTTGGGAAGGGATAGACTAGCTGCAGGTGACACTTGACAGGTCAAGTCTTCAGAACACGTTGTGGAGATGACTAAAATTGGAGATGTTCTAGAAGTTGGATGACTTAAGACATGAATCATCCTGAAAACTTTAGATTCAACATTAAGCTCTTCATCCTGCTGAAACTGGACCAAGGAAAGACAATTTGATACTACAGGTACCACCTGCAAAATACCTGGTTTCCCATGAGAAACAGTCTTTTCTGGTTTTGCTATGTCTTGTTCTGAAAATAATAAAAAGAAAATCTTTTCAGATATTTAGAAGATTTATAAATCAACATATGGTGGTTTTCTTTCCCATTTCATAGGCCAGTGATTTGTTATGCAGAGAATAACAGATTTCAACGAATGTGTCCATGGAGAAAAACTGTTTCTAGATTTTCATGTAATTTTAATTTATGTGAAAAACTTAAAGATTTTGGTTGCATGAAACAATATACCAAGAATTCTTATTTACATTAGAGTACTTATGACTTCCAAGACATAGGCTGCAATAAAACATAAATGCCAAAGTATAGATAGCAAGTATATATTACTGAAAATAACATTTTCTTGTCAAAATTCTATATAAACATTTGGGATGAAATAGATATATATATGTATTTGAGTTTTTTTCAGATGAAGTTCACAAGAAAATGTTCATGTATGAAAAAAAATCAGAATCAATTAAATTACCTGCAAAATTGTGGTGTTTTACAATAGTAAATAAAAGTTTGCTTCTTTATTTGTTTAAAAGATTTTATTCATTTATTTGACAGAGAGAGAGAGAGAGAGAGAGAGAGAGAGAGAGAGCTCCAAGCAAGGGGGAGTAGGAGAGGGAGAAGCAGGCTCCCAGCAGAGCAGGGAGCCCCAATGTGGGGCTTGATCCCAGGACGCCGAGATCATGACCTGAGCTGGAGGCAGATGCTTAATTGACTGAGCCATCCAGGTGCCCCATAAAGTTTTAAATGGCAGTAGGTTGAACTACAAGTTTTAAATGGTATTGGGTTTCCGTTTTAAAAAAGAAAATAAGGAAAATGCAAAATGTTTCCATCTGGTCACATGCATCTGCTGAAAAAAAAATACAGTCAGAAAATAAATTATAAGAGTAATTAGGGGGCACCTGGTTGGCTCAGTCCAAAGAGTGTGAGACTCTTGATTTCAGGGTCTTGAGTTTGAGCCCCATGCTGGATGTAGAAAGTTCTTAAATAAATTTAAAAAACTTTAAAATAAATAAATACAAATTTTACAAAGACAGTACTTAGGCATTTATAAGGCTTGATACATTAAGAATATATTATTGATAAAACAACAGATTTAAGCTTATGGTCAGTTACTAGGTAAATTTGATGAGAATTAAAGGACTAAGATAGTATTCTATGTCCACTAAATTTGGATTCTTGAATGTGTTGATATTGAGGAATCCTGCTGTGTAATATTTTAGTGAAGAAATAGCTTCCCTAGAGCTGGAGGTTTGTTGTGTGTGTGTGTGTGTGTTTTTTTTTTTTTAACTTGCCTCAGGCCAGTAGCTAGTTGGTACCAGAGCTAGGACTCAAACACTACATAGCAATGTAAACTTGGAAAGGTCATCTTGATTTTAGATCAATGTTACCTCTTAATTAAATGATCCTTAGTCTGGGACAATCTCTTAGTGGGAGTTTTGAGTAAGTCAGACATGGGCAGGATCCTAGCTCCAATGTATTAGCTTGAAAATCTTGGAAAAATAACTTATTTTCTGAATTGAGTCTATTGAACTATTTCCACAGGCATGAAATACGGATAGTAATTGTCCTGCTGCATGTCTCTCGGAGTGATATAATGGCAATAAAAATACTGTGCTGTTTCTGAGCTCATAATAGATGCTTAATAAGTTCTTGTCATTTTTCTCTTCAAACCCCAGTAGTCTATGAATCTGTGATTTTATAACTCTGCTATGTCCTTGGAAATGATCCTACAAATTAAATATGATCATCCTAGGGTTTGAAGGACTCCAAGAGATGTCTTCTGAAACCTAGAATGTCTGCTGCGGTCCATTTAAAGCCATCTTCTAGATGTTCTCGCTTACAGGATATCCCTGTTCTCAGCTAACCCAGTCCCATAAAACCATATTGAGCAAAAAAGTAGGAAAAATAATGAGGCTCTGGGAGACTCTGCAGATCTCCAGTTGACAGGTGGTAAGCTCTTTTAGTTCTAAAAATGAAGGCAATATCAGCTCTGTATCTATTTAAGAATAAAAATATTTTTACCTGGTTTTGCTTCTTTTTTAACTTGTGACTCTAAAAGGAAAACAAAAGGCAGAGATTTTAAAATCTGAAAAAATAAACCAAAGCACAAACTCATTTCTGGAAATGTTTTATTTTGTTTACCATAATTAAAAAGGCAGAATTTTACTAAAAATTATTTCAGTTTCCTGCTGGTTTGTTAGTGCTGGACTATTAAGTATGCAGTAGTTAATACCATGCAATATACTTATCTGCCATTAAGTTGTTGCTACTGCTAATTAATTTCACGTTGATTTTCTGTTTTCTCAAGATGATTATTGTGGAGTATAGTTTTAGTGTCAATATAAATTATTTGATGGCAGGAATGAAAGAGTATCTTTGAAATATTTGAATAGTTTTATGATTTAAAATTTAGACAAATAGTGTTACAGGTTGAATCACATCCCACAAAAAGATATGTTGAAGTCCTAACCTGCCATACCTCAGAATGCGATCTTATTTGGAACTCAGATTGTTGCAGATGTAATTCATTAAGATAAGACAAGGTCATACTGAAGCAGGATGGGTCCTTAATTAATCCAATCTGACTGGTGTCCTGATAAGGAGAGGAAAAGAGACACAGCAATAGAGACACACTGGGAGAAGAAGGCTATGTGATGTTGGAGACAGAGTTTGGAGTGGATGGATCTATAAGCCAAGGAATACCAAGAATTGCTCAGAAACTCCAGAAGTGAAAAGAAACTAGGAAAGATTCTCCTCTAGGCGTTTCAAAGGAAGCATGGCTTTGCTAACATCTTGACTTTAGACTTTGAGCCTCTAACACTATGAGAGAGTAAATTTTTGCTATTTTAAGCTACCGAGTTTGTGGCACTTTATTCCAGCTACCCAGGGAAATGAACAGATTTTGATACCAGGAGATAGGGTGCTGCTGTAACAAATACATATAAATGTGAAAGTGGCTTTGGATTTGGCTGATGAGTAGAGGCTGGAATATTTTTGAGATACTTGCTAGAGAAAAAAGACCCTCCATCTCCTTGAAAAGGATCCTGGTAGAATTATTGACAAAGTCTTTTCTGCTGGGACTTAGAAAGAACTAAGAAGAGCTATAAAGAAAGCTTCTGAGAATTTAGAAAATACGTATACCCTCATCAAATATATATATCAACAAAATGTTGCTGGAAATAGGAATGGTAAGTGTGCTTCTGGGGAGGTCTCAGAAGGAAATGCTATTGGACCCTGCAGGGGTGATTTTTGTTATATAGGGCAGAGAACTTGGCTGGATTGTGTTCCTCAGTTGGGTGGTAGTGAAACCGTGCCCCATAGGGTCAATGAAGTTGAAACTGGCAGAAGTAGTAAAGCTTGTTTTTCAGAGAACATTTTCCTTCTAGTTAGCTACTATGTCTTTTTGACTCCACTAACAAATCCACTAGCTGGTTCCATAGAGGTCTGGATTCAAGGTCGACTGATATTGTTCCAACCCAAGAACAAGCAAAGCTCTGAATTCTTCCCTGAGATAAGAAGCTTAAGACCCCATCCATGTCATACCAGCACCCAGGGCATGCCCATAGTCCCTTCTCCTCATCCTAAGACAACCTCCTGAAATCAGGGGCCAAATTTTGCCTTGTTCTAGTGTTAAGTCTCCATCCCAAAGTGAACATGAAATGGATGTTACATATACATTTGCTCAATGCACATGCTCCAGCTTCCCTCTCCCCACCCTTTTCATCAATATGTATGTAATCTACTACCCTGAATTTCCCCTTTATTTTTTTAAAAGATGTTATTTACTTACTTAAGAGAGAGAATAAGTACGAGCAGTGGGGAGGAGCAGAGGGAGAGGGGCAGCAGGAGGGTGAGGGGGAGAAGCAGACTCCTTGCAGAGCAGAGAGCCTGCGCCTGGGGCTCCATCCTGGGACCCTGGGACCGACCTGAACTGAAGGCAGACACTTAACTGACAAAGCCACCTAGGTGCCCCTGAATTTCCCCTTTAAAAGCTCCTGCTTCTTAACTGGGAAACTGTGAGATGGACTTTAGACCTTAGTCTACCACCTCTCCAGGTTGCCAGACGTTTGAATAAAGCACCCTTTCCTTTGCAACCAACATTTGTCTCTGGAATATTGGCTTTCAAGCAGTGAGCAGCTGAACTTGGGTTTTAATAACAGAAGGTAGATCTGTAAGTGAAGAACATGGATATCTAGCCAAAGAAATTTCCAAGTAAAGTGTGGAAGGTGCAGCCTGATTTCTCCTTGCTGCTTATAATAAAATGTGAAAGGGAAGATTAGTTGTGGCGCGAACTGTTAAGCAAAAAGAATCAGTACTTGATGATTTGGAAAATTCTCAATTTATTGAGACAGCGTGCCATGGAGCAGGGCCAGGAGAGTGGCTGGACAAACTTGCAGATCCAACCTACTACCTCAGCAGAAGGTAGGGTTAGAAATGTAGTTATGAGGAAAGATCTGTGGAGGACTGCCTTGTCCAATGGCATGGATCATCATGAATTGAATGCAGAACTTATCATATATTTGAGAATTCTATCCAAATAAAAAAAATGCTGCCTGATAGAAATAGAGAGAGAATGAAATGAAGGAATAGCAACTTTCAGAACAGAGTCACAGATTCAGAAGCTTGGGTTGATGGGAATTCCTTGGGTAGAGAGAGCAGGGCTGCCACCCAGGTGGGCTAGAAAGGCAGACTCCCCACCATACGAGATCCAGAAGACAGTGTATTTGGCCAAAGAGGATAATCTCAGGTCCTGACATCTAACGGATTTTTCCCTGCTATGTTTTGGATTTACTTGAGACCCATAATGCCTTCGTTTCCTTTTTTTTTTTCCCTTTTGAAATGGGAATGTCTATCCCACTGTTTTATTTTGGAAGCAGATAATTTGTTTTCTGATTTTGCAGATGGAGAGAAATTTTCTGCAAGAAGAATCATACCCTGCATTTCCATAAATGTTTAGGATAATGAGATTTGGGACTTTGAACTGATGAAATGTTGGATGCATGGAGGGTGCAGGGGATAGGACTCTATGGGCTGAATTGTGTCCTCCCAAAAGATAGGCTGAAGTCCCAACCCCCAAAATGTAATCTGATTTGGAAATATGGTCTTTGTAGGTGTAATTAATTTAGATGTAGTTACATGGGAATAGGCTGGGTCCTTAATCTAATATGACTAGTGTTCTTAGAAGAAGAGGAGAAAAGACAGAGATAAAGACACAAAGGAAGAAGACGTTCATGGGATGATAGAGGCTGAGATTGGAACAATGTAATTTCAAGCCAAGGAACACCAAGGATTGCTTGCAAACACCAGAGGTCAGAAAAGGCAAGGAATCTTGTCTCACATCCAGTTTCATTCTTCTGCATGTGGATGTCCAATTTTCCCAGCACCATTTATTGAAGAGACTGTCTTTTTTCCAGTGGATAGTCTTTCCTCCTTTATCGAATATTAGTTGACCATAAAGCTGAGGGTTCACTTCAAGATTCTCTACTCTGTTCCACTGATCTATGTGTCTGTTTTTGTGCCAGTACCACACTGTCTTGATGACCGACCACAGCTTTGTAGTACAACCTGAAATCTGGCATTGTGATACCCCCGGCTCTGGTTTTCTTTTTCAATATTCCCCTGGCTATTCAAGGTCTTTTCTGATTCCACACAAATCTTAAGATGATTTGTTCGAATTCTCTGAAGAAAGTCCATGGTATTTTGATAGGGATTGCATTAAATGTGTAAATTGCCCTGGGTAACATTGACATTTTCACAATATTAATTCTTCCAATCCATGAGCATGGAATATTTTTTCATCTCTTTGTGTCTTCCTCAATTTCTTTCAGAAGTGTTCTATAGTTTTTAGGGTATAGATCCTTTACCTCTTTGGTTAGGTTTATTCCTAGGTATCGTATGCTTTTGGGTGCAATTGTAAATGGGATTGACTCCTTAATTTCTCTTTCTTCAGTCTCATTGTTAGTGTATAGAAATGCCACTGATTTCTGGGCACTGATTTTGCACCCTGCCACACTGCCGAATTGCTGTATGAGTTCTAGCAATCTTTTTTTTTTTTTAATTTTATTTTTATTTTTATGATAGTCACAGAGAGAGAGAGGCAGAGACACAGGCAGAGGGAGAAGCAGGCTCCATGCACTGGGAGCCCGATATGGGATTCGATCCCGAGTCTCCAGGATCACGCCCTGGGCCAAAGGCAGGCGCCAAACCGCTGCGCCACCCAGGGATCCCGAGTTCTAGCAATCTTGGGGTGGAGTCTTTGGGTTTTCTATGTACAGTATCATGTCATCTGCAAAGAGGGAGATTATACTCAGTCATTGGAACGACAAATACCCACCATTTACTTTGATATGGATGGAACTGGAAGGTATTATGCTGAGTGAAATAAGTCAATTGTAGAAGGACAAACATTATATGGTCTCATTCATATGGGGAACATAAAAAATAGTGAAAAAATAAAAAATAAAAAATACTGAAAGGGAATAAAGGGGAAAGGAGAGAAAATGAGTGGGAAATATCTGAGAGGGAGACAGGACATGAGAGACTCCTAACTCTGGGAAACGATCAAGGGGTGATGGAAAGGGAAGTGGGTGGGGGGTGGGGGTGATTGGGTGACTGGGCACTGAGGGGGGCACTTGATGGGATGAGCACTGGGTGTTATGCTATATGTTGATAAATTGAACTCCAATAAAAAAATAAAAAATAAAATAAAAAGGCAAGGAAGGGTTCTTCCCTCCAGGTTCAAAAGAATCATGGCCTTGCTGACACCTTGATTTCAGACTTCTAGAACTGTGAGAGAATAAATTTCTGCCTGACTAAGATATCCAATTTGTGATATTTTATTTTATTACAGCAGCTTTATAACACAAATAGTAAACATGAACCAAAGATTTAACTGTTTTGAGAATCAGATTTCTGTGTGTTCTTTTAAAAAAAAGTTTCTGTTGCATACTGGAAGCCTTAGAAATGTTCATTTCACTCAGGTGCTCCAAAAAAAAAAAAAAAAAAAAAAAACCCAGAATGAAAGGACCAGTTTTCCGGACAGGATATCTGCATCCTATAGTAATCAGTAAAATAAGGGTTTTGTAGGTCAACTCAATTGCTTCTTCTGAACCAAATCCATTTCTCAGAAATTTCTCCTTTGTAAGTAGAATTTTTTCTAGGAACAGGTGGTATAAATAAATATGTATTATGTTTGTCCTATTTTAAAATTTGGTAAAGGATAACATTTTGTGTAATATTTGCACCAGGACACAACATTGGCAAAGAGGTAATATGCTATTTGCTATAAATATGGAATGCAAGTATGAATTTATACATAAAACATACATACCTGATTTCTCTTCTTTCTTTACTTGTGACTCTAAAAATATAGGTGAACATTAATAATGATGATTATACAAAGATAATTTTTTCTGTATTCATGCATATTTCTTTTATATATTATTTTTTTAGATTTTCCATATTGATTTTCTTCTTTTTATGGATGCAGCAAGTTGATACAAACAGGCAAATAAAGGTTACTTATTATCCATCACAGTAAGAATTATTTTGAGCTAAAATGAAAATGTGAACTAAAATTTTTATGAGAAGTTAATGAAAGGTTTTGGTCTGTGCCTTAAGTGAACAAAGGTTGGAAAAAAATCTTAGCATAGCATGTTTTCAGAAACACAGAGGATATTAGAAATACAAAGGGCATTAGAAATATGAGGATATTAAGCACATTGTCTACACAAAATAGTTATGATTCTAATAGCTTGATTTGAAGCAAAATACTCAACAATGAAATCAGGGGATGAGTAAAAGCATGCATTTAAGATTTGTTTTATTTATTTATTTATTGGCATACAGAAACATACGTGGAGGCTTAGGCTTGACTTCTTTGTCTAGAAAGAGTTTAAAATTATTAAAGACTGGGTCAGTAAATTGACTGAATTGACATTGAATATGAAAGAATATTACACATTTGAAAATTAAAATAAAACAGTAAACAACTATTGTTCTTTATTTAAATTCTACAGGATATGCAATTTAATGTCTATACAAAATCACTAATTGAAAAAAATCGTTTTTAAATGGTAAAACTCTTAGCTTAATTTTATTGCACCATTAAAAATAATTTACTCACAAACTCTTGTGTGCAACATTAACTTTTAAGTCTAATATTAAGATAGAACACATAATTTTGAGAAATTTCTTCTATCTCTTATTACTTAAGATAAAAAATATTACCTATTATTTTCATTTCCATTAATATTATTAAATTTTATCTAGCCTGGTGTAATATATTAAAAATGATTGCTACTGGGATCCCTGGGTGGCGCAGCAGTTTGGCGCCTGCCTTTGGCCCAGGGCGCGATCCTGGAGACCCGGGATTGAATCCCACATCAGGCTCCCGGTGCATGGAGCCTGCTTCTCCCTCTGCCTATGTCTCTGCCTCTCTCTCTTTCTCTCTCTGGACTATCATAAATAAATAAAAATTAAAAAAATAAAAAAATAAAAAAAAAGATTGCTACTGAAATTGAAACTCCAGATGACTAGAAATATGTTTTTATTGCATACTGGATTCATAGTGTAAGGGTTGGCAAACCTTCTATGAAAGATCAAATAGTATATATATTTTTACTTTAGGCCATTGATCTGTTTCACAACTATTCAACTCTGTTGTAACACAGAAACAGCTATAAATAATATGTAAATGAATGGACATGGCTGTGTTCCAATAAAACTTTATTTATAGAAAATAAATAAAGGTGATCAGTCTGTAGGTCATTGTTTGTCAGCCCCTGCCTTCCCCATAGTCAGTTTTAATTTTCTTTATTTTTTTTATCTCAACAAAGATTTCAACAGTAAACAAAAACAGCTTCCTTTGATTCTGTATTCCCTTATAAATATCATCCAGTACCTATCATTGTTCAACTCAGCTTCTTGGGAATGTCATCTTTACTTGCTTTTTCTACTTCCTGACTCCCATTTAATCATTAATTCACTGAAATCTAGTTTCTATTTCCACCATTTCATTTATCAGGTCTCTCTGGTCATCAATCCCCGCCCCCCCTTTGCCAACACCAATAGATGTAGTTAACTGTATTGATCATTTTTCCGTTTTAAATTCCCATTCACTTGACTTCTGATTAGTCCTCACACTTAAAACTATAGAAAACAGACAAAATATGTAAAACACTGGCTTTTTTTTTATAAATTAATTTTTATTGGTGTTCAATTTACCAACATACAGAATAACACCCAGTGCTCATCCCGTCAAGTGTACCCCTCAGTGCCCGTCACCCATTCACCCCCACCCCCCGCCCTCCTCCCCCTCCACCACCCCTAGTTCATTTCCCAGAGTTAGAAGTCTTTATGTTCTGTCTCCCTTTCTGATATTTCTCACACATTTCTTCTCCCTTCCCTTATATTCCCTTTCACTATTATTCATATTCCCCAAATGAATGAGAACATACACTGTCCTTCTCCGTAAAACACTGGCTTTAAAGGTATTGGGTATACACAACAAAGGATAGTGATTTTTAAGTGATGGGAAACAAATGATATATGTCCTATGATTGCTCCAGCTTAATGCCTTAATAGAATTATAAGGCCTTAATGAAGGAACAGAATTGAATTGACGAGATGGAACTGGGAGTCTGGAAAGGCCAAGATAGCTAGAGATCATAGGTCAGAGTCATGTAAAGTAAGGCTGCAGAGAAGAGAAGAGAGAAAAAGAGATAAAGTTCTAGAGATTTGTGGAAGGCCCTCTTAAATCTTCAGATGAGCACTAACCAGCATAGGCACACATGGAAATTACTTGGGGTCAGGAAAAGTGTCAGTCTTCCAAGTTTGATCTTTACTTCAGTATTGTGTTGGCTACTGTGAGGTTTTTTTTATTTTTTTCCCCATTCCACATAACTTTTAGAATCAGTTTGTCAATATTCACAAAATAACTTGCTGGAATTTGATGGAAATTGCATTAAATCCATAGATCACTTTGGGAGCAACTGACATCCTAATAACTTTGAATTTTCTACTTCCCACACATACACTATCTCACCATTTATGCAGAGATTTTGATTTTATGAATTCAGGAATTACATTAAAACATAAAATGCATGCTAAAATTATTATACACTTCCTTGGACTTGGCATGAAAACCCACCTTTCTAATAGTCAGGCAAGGATAAAAAGCCCGATTAATTATAAAATTCACAATGTTTTAAGACAAAAATAGGTTTTTACAGGGAATTCCTTGTATAGCAATTCCTGGTACTGTTAACTGAGTACATTTGTTTTATGTGTTCTCAACAGGAAAAAAATAGTATAATGTAGTAAATAACATCTTAAAAAAAATCCCTACCCTAAATATATGACAGATTTCCACCCTCTACTCTCACTATGAGCCAATTACACTATACCAAGCACAGTCCAATAAGAGAAATGTTACTTTAAGTCCAATCAGTTCTACTCATCCCTGCAATCAGGTTGTGACAAACACTGAATGACTATTTATTTCCACAAAGCTGTTTAATTATGATATCTGGGTTTCAGAGTTGGTTTTTACATGCCCTCTCCCATATATATTTATTTCCAAGTCAATTTCAATTGCAGCCTATATTATTCTGCTGTTCTCTTTACACTCTGCCTTATAGATTTCATCGTGTTCCCCCAAAAGTTATGTTGAAGTCCTAAGGCTCAGTATCTTGTCAATTGACCTTATTTGGAAATAAGTTTTTTTTTCAGACATAATTAAGGTGAGGTCATTAGGTAGGGTGGGTCCTAATCTAATAAGACTGATATCCTTATAAGAGGAGAAGAGACACAGAATTGGACATGCATAGAGAGAGAGAAGATAATGTGAAAACATACAGGGATAATACCATGTTGTGACAGAAACAGAAATTTGAATGATGTTTCTACAAGCCAAGGAACACCAAGGTTTGCTGGCAATTCTAGAAGCTAAGGGAAAGGGATGGAACAGATAATCCTCCAAACCTTCAAGGAAAGCATGACCCTTCCTTTTTTTTTTTTTAATTTTTATTTATTTATGATAGTCACACAGAAAGAGAGAGAGAGGCAGAGACACAGGCAGAGAGAGCAGCAGGCTCCATGCACCGGGAGCCCGATGTGGGATTCGATCCGGGGTCTCCAGGATCGCGCCCTGGGCCAAAGGCAGGAGCCAAACCGCTGCGCCACCCAGGGATCCCGCATGACCCTTCCTACAACTTGATTTTGGACTTCTATCTCTAGAATGATGAGAGAATAAATTTGTGTTATTTCAAGCCACCCAGCTTGTGGTGGCCCCAATAGCCATTCTATTCTCTTACTTGTATGAATTTGGCTCCTTCATATTACATATATAAGTGAGAACATACATTATTTATCTTTCTCTGTCTGACTTATTTCACTTAGCATCAGGCTTTCAAGATCCATCCATGTAATCACAAAGGCAAGATTTCCTTCCTTTTTTGTGGATGAATAATATTCTATTGTATACATATGCCATTATTTCTTTTTTTTTTTTTAAAGATTTTATTTATTTATTCATGAGAGAGAGAGAGAAAAAGAGAGAGAGACAGAGACACAGGCAAGGAAGAAGTAGGCTCCATGCAGGGAGCCTGACATGGCATTCGATCCCGGGTCTTCAGGATCACACCCAGGGCTGAAGGCAGGCGCTTAACTGCTGAGCCACCCAGGGATCCCTATATCATTATTTCTTTATCTTCTTATTCATTGACGGATGGACATTTAGGTTGTTTCCACATATTGGCTATTGTGAGTAATGCTGCAACATATATGGGGTGCAAACATCTCTCTAAGATGGTGATTTTATTTCCTTCAGGTATAGACCTGGAAGTGTAGGATTGCTGGATTATATAATAGTTCTATTTTTAATCGTTGAATTACCTCCATACTTTATCCCAATTTACGTTCCCATCAGTAGTGCATGAAAGTTTCCTTTTCTTCACATCCTCACCAACACTTACTTCCTGTATTTTTGACAATTACCATTCTAGTAGATATGAGGTGATGTCTCACTGTGGTTATCACTGCTAATTAGTAATGATGAGCATCTTTTCATATACCAGGTGGACATTTGTATGTCTCTAGAAAAACATCTGTTCATGTTCTCTGACCATTTTTAAACTGGATTAATTGGTTTTTGCAGCAGGTTAAATACAGCCCGTGCACAAAGCCATAGGCTAAAGCCTGTGGCGTTGTTTTTACAAATCAAATTTAACCATTTCATACTTGGTCCCTGAGGTGTGCAGAGTGCCCACTTGCCTCTTCTAGACTCACAGCTTATCTTCGCCATTTGTGGTTTCCATGTCACTCTTCGTAGAAACAGGACAGCCCCCAGTATCCTCAATCTTTGCCGTCTTCCAGCTGCCTCATCACAGCGCTGCGGCCTCCCCCTGCTGCCTAGGCACGCCATTTCCAAGGGCAGGAAGGGGCAGTGTCCTGCAGCCCATCTTTTCTGTGACTGTCTTAGGTGATGCGTGGCCCCCTCCACCTTTCCACCCAACAACTTCCTATCCCTGTCCTGCTGCACGGTCCAGAGTCTGGGACATACTTTGTTTCTTTGTTATTTATGACCTTGTTTAAAGAAAATAAATATCTCCCAACTTTGTGTGTGTGTGTGTGTGTGTGGTTTGAACTCTTTCTTCTCTTTTGTTAAAAGGGGGAAGGGAAAGGGTGTGAGGTACCCCTGGGCTCTGGGGGAGGCATGCAGGCAGCCCCAGCAGGCAGGCACTGGGGGATGGGTGGGAAGAGTCCTGGAGTTCCCCACAATTCTTTTCTCTGCAGGGAACAGCGAGGCTGGCTGACAAGGGGGTAGGAGAGAGGGGCAGGGCCCTGGGGAGAGGGGTGGCAGGCAAGGGGCTTGGGGGCTCAC